GGGGATTGGCGCCGGAATGATGCGTGCTGTGGAGGTGTATCGGGTATTCAGGGTATTCATTGTCTCCATGGCCCCCTTCGGTGCACAGCTGTACCCTTTTCCCGCCGCCTTCGATTGGCTCGAGAAGCCCCTGATCCAGAAACTTTTCCTTGTCCCTGCAGATTGGCTTCCAGGAGACATTTTGAAATGTTTCCAGCAGTTCGGATTCCCTCGCGATTTCCCCGAAGGGGCGCGCGTCGCCTCGGTGGCGAAAGTCCGGGTGGTGCTTCATGAGGCCTGCCAGACGGGTGGATTGCTGGTGATGTCAAGAGTTGCGGCCTTGCGAGCCGCCGTGCAACTTCCGCGGTATCCGCAGGCTTGGTTCACGGCGCGCCTGGGCGCCCTTCGCCTTCTCAGTCTCGTTGGAAAAAATGGCGTGGGACTCCATGGCCCGTGGCGAGCCTGCCCGACCCGTCGTCGATCGTGCCCGGGTAGGCTCAGCGAGAAGGGGTGGCAGGCACGAGCTCTTCGTATTGCCCCTCCCCCGCGGGCTGCGGCAGTGGGGCGAGCGTTGCGGCGAAAACTTGGTCATCGGTGCCTCGATGTCCCTCCTGGGCGCCGCTGCCGTCGATTCTTCCCGCGCATGGGGGCGCCGAGGAGCTGTTGCCTCCCTGTGTGTTGGCGGCGTCTTTATGGGTTAATGTGAATGTTTTGGCAATTTCCAAGCGAATCCAGAAGATTGGGAGATTCGAATTGGAGTGACAAGCGATGGATGGTCGTTCCAGCACTACTGCCATTGCCGCATCCTCCACGACCTGCGTCGTCGTCGCCTGGGCCTGGAGCGCCCGGGCACGACGTGGCCCTGGCAGACTTCCTTTTGATTTCCCCTTCCCGCCACCTCCTTCGAGTGGGGGCGCCCCCCCGCGGGCGGCCCGCAAGCTGCCGCGCTGAGGGCGCTCGGTGCCTTTTCTCTCTTCCGAATGCGCAGTGCGAGGCGCCGCGGTGGCCGCTGCGCGCGCCTCCCCTCCGACCTACTCTTAGGTTTCGTCCGTGAGGGGGTTCGTGGCCACTCGCAGGCCATGGCCTTATTCTCCTCGACGCGCAAGCGTCGGCGGCAGCATTAGTATCGTTCCCCTTCCCCCCATGTAGTTTCACTTGTTTCAGATGTCGCTGGCGCAGCATCCTGGGGCACCTGGTGTCCTCTTCTCGCGCCCGCGGAGCGCGCGAGGCTTGCTCTGGGCCGCTTTGGGGCCATGCGCCCCTGGCGGTGGGGTCAGGTGGCTCGCGCCCCACGGCGATCGTCGGTCCGCCCAACGGCGGTTGCATTGTTGCTCTTCGCGTTGTTTCTTTCTTCTGTCCTCCTTGCCTCCCCGTCCTTGTCCCCCTGGCGTTGCGCCGCCGCGTCCGCCTGAGTGCCAGTCCGCCCGGGCGTTGGTCAGGGGGGGCGTTCGCAGGGCATCCTGTCGCGTTTCGTGCGCGTATGCGAACATCGCCCGTATTTCCGCCCCTTCTCCTTCTCATGGCCCTCCTCCTCCTTATCGTCCTCCTCCTCGTCCTCCCCTTCCCCTCCCTGCCCCTTCCTCCCCGCGCGTGCCAGTGCGCCCTAGTCTGGGGACATTGCGGATTTTTGCCCCCCTCCGCGTCGGCCTTGCCGCGGGGCATAATTCGCAGTTGTGCCTCATCCCCCCCGTTTCTTTTTCTGGGCAGTTTTTCTTTCTTCTTGTCCCGTTTCGGCGCTGTGTGCAGGGGGCGTCGCTGGCCGGGGGGGTCGGGCCCCCCCCCTTCAAAGGGTCAAAGGTGCGTGAAATGTTCGACCCCCCCGCCCCCCCTCCCCCCCTGAAGGGGGGGTTGGGGGTCCGGACCCCCCCCCTCTCCCTTTTTTTGCGCTCGAAAGGAGGGGGGGTTCGAAGCCCCCCCCTCTCCCCCCTTTGCGCTGGACAGAGAGCCGGGGAGGGGGCCTCTCCGGCTGCTTCTTTCTGCGCCGGGAAAGGAGGGTAGGGAGTGTGGAGTGGGGAATAGTGAGCAGTGAGTCGCGAGTAGTGAGTAGTAACTAGTGAGTAGATAGTAGCGAGTAGTGAGTAGTGAGTAGTGAGAAGTGAGAAGTGAGTAGTGAGTAGTGAGTAGTGAGTAGTGAGTAGTGAGTAGTAGTGATTAGTGCGTAGTGACTAGTGAGTAGTGAGTAGTGCGTAGCGAGTAGTGAGTAATGAGTAGTGAGTAGTGAGTAGTCAGTAGTGAGTCCTGAGTAGGAAGTAGGGAGTAGTGAATAGTGGGTAGTGAGTTGTCGGTGGTGAGTAGGGAGTAATGAGTAGTTGGAAGGGTGTAGTGCGTAGTGAGTAGTGAGTAGTGAGTAGTCAGTTGTGAGTAGTGAGTACTGCGTTGTGAGTAGTGAGAAGTGAGTAGTGTGTAGAGAGTAGCGAGTTGTGAGTTGGGAGTAGTGAGTAGTGATCCGTGAGTAGTGAGTAGTGAGTAGTGACTAGTCAGCGGTGAATAGTGAGTAGTGATTAGTTGTTTGTTGGCAGTGGGTGATGAGAAGTGAGTAGCGAAGAGGGAGTAGGGAGTAGAGAATAGTGAGAAGCGATTAGTGGGTAGTGAGTAGTGAGTATCGAGTAGGGAGTAGGCAGTAGTGAGTAGTGCGTAGTGGGTAGCGGGTAGGGAGTTGCGAGTAAGCAATAGTTAGTAGTGAGTAGTGAGTAGGGAGTAGTGAGTAGTGTGTAATGAGATGCGAGAAGTGGGTAGCGGGTAGTGGGTAGTGAATAGTGAATAGCGAGTCGTGGGTAGTGAGTAGTGAGTAGTGAGTGGTGAGTGGTGAGTAGTGAGTGGTGAGGTAGTGAGTAGTGAGTAGTGAGTAGTGACTAGTGAGTGTGGTGTTTTGAATTGTCAGCAGTGATTGGTGCATAGTGAATAGTGAGTAGTGGGTGGTGAGTAAGGGGTATTGAGGAGGCAGTAGCGGGAAGGGAGAAGCGAGGAGCTAGTATTGAGTAGTGAGTAGTGAGTAGTGAGTAGTTAGTAGTGAATACGGAGTAGTGAGTCGTGGGTAGTGTGTAGTTAGTAGTGAGTACAGAGTAGTGAGTAGTGAGTATTGAGCAGTGGATGGTGAGTAGTGAGTATCGAGTACTGCGTAGGGAGGAGCGAGTAGAGAGTAGTGAGTAGTGAGTACCAAGTAATGAGTTGTGAGTCCTGAGTAGTGAGCAGGAAGTCGTGAGTAGTGTGTACTGGATAGCGTTTAGTGAGTAGTGAGTAATGAGTAATGGGGAGTGAGTAGTACGTCGTGAGTAGTGAGCAGTGAGTATAGAGTAGTGAGTAGTGAGTCGTGAGTACGAAGCAGTGAGTAGTGAGTAGTGGGTGGTGGGTAGTGAGTAGTATCGAGTACTGTTTGGGGCTGGGGTTAGTGGTTGGGTTTAGGGTCTGGGGTTAGGGTGAGGTTTTGGGTTAGGGGTGGTAGGGGGGGCGCGGGTTGTGGAGTCATGGGGCGGCGTGGCGAAAGGGGGGGGGAGGGTGGGGGGGTTCGAATCCCCCCCCCCACTTTCGAAGGGGGGGGGGGTCTCGACGACGGATCGGAAAAACGGGGGGGGGGGGTCCCCGGCGACGGACCAGGAAGGCGGGGGGGGGTCCCCGACGACGGACTGCGGAAAAGGGAGGGGTTCCCCCCCCCCCCTGGGGGGATCCAGCGGCGCGCCCTCTGTGTGCGTACGTGTATGTGTATGTGTATGTGTAAGTGTATGTGTATGTGTATGTGTATGTGTATGTGTATGTGTATGTGTACGTGTATGTGTATGTGTATGTGTATGTGTATGTGTATGCGTATGCGTCTGCGTATGCGTATGCGTATGCGTATGCGTGTGTGTACATATATATATATATATATATATATATCTATAGATGTGTGTGTGTGTGTGTGTGCGTGCGTGCGTGCGTGTGTGTGTGTGTGTGTGTGTGTGTGTGTGGTGCCTTGCCCTCCTCGTGCTGGCCTGGGTACGTCCCAGCATTGCGGTCAGGCTAGCAGTCACAGTTGGGCTGTCCTGGCGCGGCTGCCAGACTACCGTGAGGTGCCGTCGACACCCCTAGTCTGGTCTTGCACCTTGCCGCTTTCTCACGCCCGAGTGCGCCTGTACCGACGCCTCACCGCACAGTTTTCCCCGCCCCGCCCCTTGTGTGCATTGATGCTACAGGATGGCGCTCGGCCGCTTTTTCTCCTGGTGTGTTCGCGCTCCCGGCTGTTCCAGCGTCTTCCACGTTCACGTCCACGCTAAAGCGCTCTGTCTCTGCACCCGATCGTCCAGTAAGTCCACCCACCCGCTACGCCATGTGGAATTCGGCTAAACGTGCCCAGGTTTAATACTCGCGACGGTGCCGCTACCTAGCCGCTGGAGGAAAAAGGGTGTGTGTGTGTGTGTGTGTGTGTGTGTGTGTGTGTGTGTGTATGTGTGGCTCGCGGCCGTGTCCCAGGATCTGACACGCTTGTCCAAGTTTGCGCTTCTTTTGTCCCGAGGCTTCTAGAGGCGTTGGGATCACCTACAGGGGCGCTGAGGGGCCACCAGCCAGTATGTTTTCGGGCAGCTCCAGGATGAGCCCCAGACGGCCGAACACGGCCCAAGATATCTTGTGCCGTATTAAGCATGTCGATGCTAGGTTCCTAGGGCCTCCAGAAAAGTCACGCGAGCCGCCCCGACAGCGCCCAGAAGCGATTGACAATGCTGTGAATTTGGGCTCTGGGGCCCGTAAAGAGTCAACACAGAGATCTCGAAAGGACTTGACGTCATTGCGCTGAACGCCTACGGTACGGTCGCGTATGTATGTATGTGTGTGTGTGTATGTGTGGATGTACAGATGTACATTATATGCCTGTGTGTATGCATTTGTATATATGGTGGAGACAGAAATCGGCATATCTATGTATGTATGTAGGAACGTGAGAGAGAGAGAGGAAATAACTAACCACTATATATAATCCCAACACAGGATAAGCCTGCAGTCTCGCGCTCAGTCGGATGAATTGCGCTTTCCGTCGCCGTGCTAGCCAGCTCTAACACGTTTCGAGCCCCGATCGGACAGGCTCTTTTGCTAGCACGTTCTGGCTTTCAAATCGGTACATTTATCAGCCTATCGATTGGGCTGCGGGGTCAGTTGCGCTGCTTAGGGCAGGATAGGGACTTGGGCGCGCGGTCGTGGTCAGGCAGAAGCCCGATTGAAACCACTGCGCGCCTTCAGCAAAAAAGAACAAGCGAGACAGGCATACATGCGCGTGCCGATATGTCAGCTCTCTTGACCGTTTATAGGACTGAGTCGCTCTCGAGCCCCCACGCGCACGGAGACGACGACGGTTATGACTGGTGGTTGCGGTGAGGAGGCGGATGATCATGAGGCTGATTATAATGCTCGTGCAGCTGTCGACGATGACGACGATGGTAATGCTGCTGCTGACGACGACGAGTGGCTTCAACGCACCGCCATGTACCAGAACTGAGGGCGCTGAGGCGCCACCGAGCTATCGGTCTCAGGACGGCCTCCAGGTCGATGGAACGCGCCGAGCGAGCGAGCGATAGTGATCATTGCTACTGTTGACAACGGCGACCGCAGGAATGCTGAGCACGCATGGTGTGCACAGCAGGCAGCACGCACTCGCGGCCCAGCGCCGCAGGGCAGGCCGCGCCGGAGGTCGCCCGCCGCAGAAGCGAGGCGGGCAGCACCAGATCAAGCCTCACCTCGAGAGCCTGGAGTTCTTGTGCCCTGAGGCCGTCAGTGCCACCGAGATGGGTATCCCAGGTTGTTCAGGAGGAGCACCCCCGTTCTGGCCACCCTGTCCGACAGCCCGTTCCGGCCGCTCCACGCCCACCGGACCCGCCCCCGCGAGAGATTCAACCCCTCCGCGCCCTGCGAAGGACAGCCCGCTCTCCTGCGCCCCAGCGCGATCAACGGCAGGAAAGCGGCGCTCTCCTGCGCTGGTGGTGGCGCTGAGAGGCCACCAAGTCGGTAAAGCGGTGTCCCTAGGGGAGTCGCGACAGCAACGTTCAAGGGTTTTTTTCCGAACCATCCTGTGGTGTTGGGTCCTCGTTTTGAAGAGACGGCGCCCCGCGTTCCTTCTTCCTCCTCCTTCCCGCCCTCTTCCCCCTCCTCCCTCCTCCCACGTCCCTGCGTTTCACCCACCCAGTACAGCGTTTCGTGGCCCCATAGGGAGCTCCACCGAAGGCTCCAGTGGCAGGGTTCGCATGGCGGCCTCGGGCCATTTCGGCACACCCCTCACGAGGATCGTGGCCCTATAGGGAGCTCCATTGAAGGCCCCAGTGGCAGGGTTCGCATGGTGGCCTCGGGCCATTTCGGCACACCTCTCACGAGGATCGTGGCCCCACAGGGAGCTCCACGGAAGGCGCCAGCGGCAGGGTTCGGATGGCGGCCTCGAGCCATTGCGGCACACCCCTCACGAGGATCGTGGCCCCACAGGGAGCTCCACCAAAGGCGGCCAGTGGCAGGGTTCGCATGGCGGCCTCGGGCAATGGCGGCACACCCCTCACGAGGATCGTGGTCCCATAGGGAGCTCCACTGAAGGCCCCCAGTGGCAGGGTTCGCATGGCGGCCTCGGGCCATTTCGGCACACCCCTCACGAGGATCGTGGCCCCATAGGGAGCTCCACCGAAAGCGCCAGTGGCAGGGTTCGCATGGCGGCCTCGGGCCATTGCGGCACACCACTCACGAGGATCGTGGCCCCATGGGGAGCTCCACCGAAGGCCCCACTGGCAGGGTTCGCATGGCGGCACTCGGGCCATTTCGGCACACCCCTCACGAGGATCGTGACCCCATAGGAAGCTCCACCGAAGGCTCCAGTGGCAGGGTTCGCATGGCGGCCTCGGGCCGTTTCGGCACACCCCTCACGAGGATCGTGGCCCCATAGGGAGCTCCACCGAAGGCGCCAGTGGCAGGGTTCGCACGGCGGCCTCGGGCCATTGCGGCACACCCCTCACGAGGATCGTGGCTCCATAGTTGTGCTGCTTCAACAACTGCGCCTGGGCGTCGTACTCCGCCTTGTCGACGTGCAACGCCAGCTTCTTCCTCATGGCTCTCAAAGCCCTCTCCTGCTTCTGGTCCTCGTCGTCGGCGCCCGCGAAGACGGCCACGAACGTGTTCGACGGGCTCTGGCGGAAAGCCGTGGCCACATGGGGAGCGCGAGCGAAGGTGGTATTCACACTTGCGGTATTCACAACTGCATATGGTTGGGTCCTTCGCCAGGCTAATTTCCATTCAGGGTGTGCCCTTCAGGTGCTCTCGCCTCGGCGCGGGCACTCGTTCTGAGGGGCGATCCGCATCGTGTGCCACCGAGCCGTGTCAATTTCCGAGCGAGAGTCCCTGCATGTGGGATCCTCCCCGAGCCGGATCGATCCGTGAGGGACCTTTTTTTCCTGTCGGTTTTTGTTCCCAACCATCCTGTGGTGTTGGGCTCTCGTTTTGAAGAGACAGCGCCCCGCGTCCCGCTCACTCACTCACTCACTCCCTCCCCTCCTCCTCCTCCTCCTCCTCCTCCTCCTCCATCGCCTCCTCCTCCTCCTCCTCCTCCTCCTCCTCCTCCTCCTCTCCTCCTCCTCCTCCTCCTCCTCCTCCTAGTCCTCCTCCTCCTCCTCCTCCTCCTCCTCCTCCTCCTCCTCCTCCTCCTCCTCTTCCTCCCTCCTCCTCCATCCTCTGCCCCTGCCTTCCGCACCACCCACTCATTACGGCACACCCCTCACGAGGATCGTGGCCCCATAGGGAGCTCCACCGAAGGTCCCAGTGGCAGGGTTCGCATGGCGACCTCGGGCCGTTTCGGCACGCCCCTCACGAGGATCGTGGCCCCATAGGGAGCTCCACCGAAGGCCTCAGTGGGAATGGTTGCGTGGCGGCCCCGCCCCAGTTCGGCGCACCCCTCACGAGGATCGTGGCCCCATAGGGAGCTCCACCGAAGGCCCCATTGGCAGGGTTCGCATGGCGGCCACGCCCCAGTTCGGCGCACCCCTCACGAGGATCGTGGCCCCATAGATAGCTCCACCGAAGGCCCCAGTGGGAAAGGTTGCATGGCGGCCCCGCCCCAGTTCGGCGCACCCCTCGCGACCATGGGGAGCTCCACCGAAGGCCCCAGTGGGAAAGGTTGCATAGCGGCCCCGCCCACCCCTCACGAGGATCGTGGCCCCATAGGGAGCTCCACCGAAGGCCCCAATGGGAAAGGTTGCGTGGCGGCCCCGCCCCAGTTCGACGCACCCCTCACGAGGATCGTGGCCCCATTGGGAGCTCCACCGAAGGCTCCAGTGGGAAAGGTTGCATGGCGGCCACGCCCCAGTTCGGCGCACCACTCACGAGGATCGTGGCCCCATAGGGAGCTCCACCGAAGGCCCCAGTGGGAAAGGTTGCATGGCGGTCCCGCCCCAGTTCGGCGCACCCCTCTCGAGGATCGTGGCCCCATAGGGAACCCCATCGAACATGATAGTCACGACTGCGGTACTCACTGCTTCATTTGGTTGGGTCCTTCGCCAGGCTAAGTTTGCTTTGTTTTTTGGGTTTGATGGTTTTTCCCAACCATCCTGTGGTGTTGGGTCCTCGTTTTGAAGAGACGGTGGCCCGCGTCTCCCCTCCTCTCATCTCTTCCTCTGCCCCCTCCTCCTCCCTCCTCCCCCTCTTCCTTGCGTTTCACCCACCCAGTACAGCGTTTCGTGGCCCCATAGGGAGTTCCACCGAACGCCCCCAGTGGCTGCGTTCGCATGGCGGCCTCGGGCCATTTCGGCACACCCCTCACGAGGATCGTGGCTCCATAGGGAGCTCCACCGAAGGCCCCAGTGGCTGCGTTCGCATGGCGGCCTCGGGCCATTTCGGCACACCCCTCTCGAGGATCGTGGCCCCATAGGGAGCTCCACCGAAGGCCCCCAGTGGCTGCGTTCGCATGGCGGCCTCGGGCCATTTCGGCACACCCCTCTCGAGGATCGTGGCCCCATAGGGAGCTCCACCGAAGGCCCCAGTGGCTGCGTTCGCATGGCGGCCTCGGGCCATTTCGGCACACCCCTCACGAGGATCGTGGCCCCATAGGGAGCTCCACCGAAGGCGCCAGTGGCAGGGTTCGCATGGCGGCCTCGGGCCATTTCGGCACACCCCTCACGAGGATCGTGGCCCCATAGGGAGCTCCACCGAAGGCTCCAGTGGCTGCGTTCGCATGGCGGCCTCGGGCCATTTCGGCACACCCCTACGGGATCGTGGCCCCATAGGGAGCTCCACCGAAGGCTCCAGTGGCTGCGTTCGCATGGTGGCCTCGGGCCATTTCGGCACACCCCTCACGAGGATCGTGGCCCCATAGGGAGCTCCACGGAAGGCTCCAGTGGCTTCGTTCGCATGGTGGCCTCGGGCCATTTCGGCACACCCCTCACGAGGATCGTGGCCCCATAGGGAGCTCCACCGAAGGCGCCAGTGGCAGCGTTCGCATGGCGGCCTCGGGCCATTTCGGCACACCCCTCACGAGGATCGTGGCCCCATAGGGAGCTCCACCGAAGGCTCCAGTGGCAGGGTTCGCATGGCGGCCTCGGGCCATTTCGGCACACCCCTCACGAGGATCGTGGCCCCATAGGGAGCTCCACCGTAGGCTCCAGATGGTTCGCATGGCGGCCTCGGGCCATTTCGGCACACCCCTCACGAGGATCGTGGCCCCATAGGGAGGTCCACCGAAGGCCCCAGTGGCAGGGTTAGCATGGCGGCCTGGGGCCATTTCGGCACGCCCCTCACGAGGATCGTGGCCCCATAGGGAGCTCCACCGACGGCGCCAGCGTTCGCATGACGGCCTCGGGCCATATAGGGAGCTTCACCGAAGGCGCAGGTGGCAGGGTTCGCATGGCGGCCTCGGGCCGAGGATCGTGGCCCCTCACCGGAGGCCCCCAGTGGCAAGGTTCGCATGGCGGCCTTGGGCCATTTCGGTACACCCGTCACGAGGATCGTGGCCCCATATGGAGCTCCACCGAAGGCCCCCAGTGGCAGGGTTCGCATGGCGGCCTCGGGCCATTTCGGCACACCCCTCACGAGGATCGTGGCCCCATAGGGAGCTCCACCGCAGGCGCCAGTCGCATGGCGGTCTCGGGCCAGCACACCTCGCACGAGGATTGTGACCGCATAGGGAGCTCCACCGAAGGCCCCAATGGCAGGGTTCGCATGGCGGCTTCGGGCCATTTCGGCACACCACTCACGGGGATCGTGGCCCCATAGGGAGCTCCACCGAAGGCCC